TGTTGGCAAGAGTAAGTTTACTGGGGCACACCAAGCTATTGAAATAAACCTTTGAACAGATTTTCCTGAACACATGTAAAGCATAATTATTTAGTAAACAGCATATTTTTTTTCATTTACAGGCACAATACCATGGCTATAGGAATAGCTGTGGATATCCTGGGTTGCACAGGAACAGTAGAAGATAGAGCAGCAACATTGAACAGGATTATCCAAGTTGCAGTGGAGCTGAAAGACTCACTGGGGGATTTGTATGGATTTTCTGCCATTATGAAAGCACTGGAAATGCCACAGGTAAAAATCTGTTTCTCTTTATGTTCCAAACTATGGAATTGTTTGGTAGTTTATTTTCATTTATGCAACTTCATCAAGACTAGAGAGCTCATCAGAACAAACTTCACTAGCAGGGTGCTGTTCCTGTGATTGCTGTGGCATCACTAACAAGGTATTCTGTCATTGTCTATGAACAGGTCACTAGGTTAGAACAAACCTGGACCTCTCTGAGACATCATTATACCCAGACTGCCATTATGTATGAAAAACAGCTGAAGCCATTTAGCAAAGCTTTGCATGAAGGACAAGACGAGTGGAACAGTGAGTATGAGTGACACTGGTTTCTGTCTGTCCTTTTAACTTCTCACTGCTCATTTCCTGTGTAGGGAGATGAGGCAGCTGCTGTTTGGATAGCTGTGTATCACATGTTAAAAGTGCTGTGAACTTGTAGAATGCACTATAAGACAGTGCAATCGAAAGAAACAAGTCTGTCAGACAAACTGGCAGAATCTAACAGCATTCTCAAACTTATACTCCCTCTTTGTGGAGCAGAAACTGAAACACTTTCTTTGCTTCCCTCAAAGACAGAAAAAAAATAATCTCCTTTATTCAGAAAAGAGTTGCTTTTGGCAAATTTAGATTTTTACTTGCTTTGCCTACTGGATCAGAGGATGAATCCTTAAATACAAAGAATGGGTTAGTAAGAGAATTCCTCTGATCACACCAAGGGCTTCTGCATCCATTCTTTGCAGCTTTCATCTCCAAAGCAGTGCGAGGCAGAGAATAACATCTGAATACTTATCCAAGAGAATGGATAAAGAAAACGTAAGCCTCACAGAATTTATTGTAATTATTAATTATGCAGATTTTAAATGTGTTTTATATCTCTGTACCACTGTCTAATAATTCAGCAGAGCCCTCTTCTGTAACAGGTAAGAGTAGTTTTCCAACATTAACTTGCTTTGGCATTCTCTCCCAGCCAGTTCCCTGGAAACTGGTAGGACTGATGCACTTGAGGTAATGTGTTAGTTTGGAGGATGGAAGAAAAATAATAGTTTCCAATAGTTTCTTGAATTAGCAATTTCATAATGTCTGATATGATTTGTTTGTTGTTCTCTATTCCAGAGACCACCAGTACTCCACAGAAGCATGTGACTGTGCCACTGCTGATGCCTCTCATTACCTTGATGGAGCGGCAAGCTGTCATTTTTGAAGGGATGGACCTGTGGGAAAGCAGTGACCAAAGCTGTGAGATAATGCTCAAGCACTTGGCCATGGCTCGTCAGATAGCACAGAATGCAGAAATGTACAGCCTGACTGCAGGGCGGATGCTGGAAGGTAGGGAGCAGTGTAGGAGAAACTGCTGCACCTTGACACAAAGCAGGGGTTATATCTGAAGAATAAGGTCTTTGCCTAAGTGTCACCAATAGTGGAAGAAATTCTTCTCCTCTTTCATGGGAGCTGAGATAGTAGCAAATGTCCTGCAGGAAACTAAGTCAGAGGACATCAATATAGCTTAAAAGAAGACAGTTAATTATTAATCACTGTAGTTCTCCAGTAATCAACAGATGTTTTTACTAAACAAAAGTCAAAGTTCTCGTGACTTAATATGCTTGACCCTTCTAGCAGCTGAGCAGAAGTACAGTACGGACTGAGGATAGCTTCTTCTCTGTACGTTTTCAAATCCCTACTCTGTTTGTTGCAAATATACCACCATTTGTCATCATGAGGTTTTCTTACAGTAGTGCAAAATGCAGCATTATGATCTTGACTGCTTGGAGCCAGAAAGCAGCAACGTGTTCAACATGTGACTGTATTTTAAAGTTTGACTGAAACAGTGAAGGGAGACAGATGACTGCTGATTCCTAAACAGATTATTTATTTACTGTGTCATCAAGTCACTGAGTGATCCCTTTAAAGTTAGGTTACCCCTGTAAGGTAATCTTAAAGCAATCTTAAAGCTTTTTGTACTTCCCAGTTAGAATATGTAGAATATGTTGAGAATGCGTAAGATTAAAGGGCATTGGCTTCTTAATATTAAAATTAAACAGTGTAAAGCCAAGAACAGATTAAGTATGTGACATTGCAGAAAGTTTGTTATATGATATTCCTTTAATGAATATAAATGAATGTACATAGAATTGTGAATTATTAAAGTGTATCTTGATGGTGGTAGCGTGTATACAGCAATAATTGTATTTAAAGTAAGGCTTGTAATGACAATTCCAGATCATTAAAATTGAGCAAGGGGATAGCCTGTCCTCGTATCCCTAAAGCATTTATACGCTACAGAATGTCAGTAATGGAAAGGACTGTCAATTGTTAAAAATATCTAAAGGAACCCAGCACACTAAGGCTTATGTTATTTGGAGGGAATAATTTTAAAATCCATTTCTTCTGAATAAAAAAACTTGTCTGATAGTAATACTGTGGGATTCTTTTTCTTTACTAGGTTTTCAGCCAGATGAAGAAATGAGTGAAATCTTCAAGACAGAATTTCAAATGAGATTGCTCTGGGGCAGTAAAGGAGCCCAAGTTAATCAGAATGAAAGATATGAGAAATTCAGCCAGATTTTAACTGCACTTTCCCGAAAACTGGAACCTCCCCCACTGAAGCAGGTGGAACAATTAAGTATATAAGACTCTGTAAACACTATTTAAATGATATACTTGAAATAACCTTGGTTTTCTTCTGCCAATTTGAAACAGCACAAACTTCTTCCATTTCACAAGATGTTTAGAACTTTTAACTGCACAATGCACACTTGTTTTAAAACTACTGATTTCTAAACAGATTATTTATTTACTGTGTCACTAAGTCAGTGAGTGATCCCTTTAAAACAGGTAGGTTAGCCCTGTAAGTCAGTCTTACAGCTTTTTGTATTTCCTAGTTAGAATGTTTTAATAATGCCTAAGACTTACGGGCATTGCCTTCTTAATATTAAAATTAAGTAAACAGTGTAAATACAAGAATAGATTAAGTGACATTGCAGAAAACTTGTTGTATAGTATTCTTTTAATGAACATAGATCACTGTACATAGAATTGTGAATTAAAGTGTATCTTTATGCAAAATAATTTGCAGGTTGCAGAAATTATATCTGTGATCTCAACAGGAAGCTCAACTATCATTGCTCCTGTGAAGGTACAAAATGAGTTGCGTATGTTGGGACAACTTACTTTGTGTTTAAGACAGCATCTGTAGTGCTTTTGCTGGAGCCTAAACAGGAGCTATGCTGCCAGGAATAGATGATGAAATGGCAAGAACAAACAATCCAGAAAATTAAAATGCTTTCAGATATGAGTAAATGTGGGTGTATGAATACATTAAACTTGCTTCATTTACTGAGGTGAATCATTTTAGTAAGTAGCATTCTTTTCTTAGATGAAGGCAAAGCATAAGCTGTTAGCACTTTTCACAGGAAATCAGCATGTGTGGTGTTTGTATTAAGAGTGCTTCAGCAGCAAATTCCACTGTGTTGCATATAAAAATGGTGTTTTAGCATTATCCTCAGAACCTGGATAAATGTTCAAGCAAGAACTAAGGTTAGAGATTCATGTGCTCATTATTATTAAGTGAAATGTTACTTTTACAGAACTTGAAATGATTTGAGCAGGCTCACAACACAGCAAACACCGAAATGGTATGATCTATTCCTCCCACCTCCAATCACACCAGAGGTTCTACCACGGTAACAGGAAGTTACAGTGCTCATGCTGGAAGTCTTTAACAGAAGACAAGTGGGGAAGGTAATTCCATAGAGCATGAAAAGATTTTTTATTCCATGAAAATATTCTCAACAGAGAACACTATTTTTAAACAAAGCATTTAACATTTAGGAAATCAATGTGTGCACAAAAAATGATTAAAAATTACTGGAAAATGTAAGATTCTTTAAGACAACTCACGTTCAGAATTTTAGAAGTGATTTATAGCTAGCTGTGCAAGTACAAATGTTTTTTCCTATGTTTAATAACCCTCATACAAGTTGCACTATCCCTCACGAAAGCAACCTGCCTCCAAAGGAAGCAAATCCTGGTTTTAGAAAAACAAACAGTAGCCTTAAGAGAACATTTAGTCCTTTACCAGGAAGTGTTATTACTGACCTGCAAGGCTGTTAGCCAGGCAAACCACAGGCCCTTTAGCAGAAAATACACAGATCACAATTTCCTCCTTTTCTCTAAAATAAAAAAAGCACTAGATTTTAAGAGAAAACAAAAACAAAAAACCCAGAACAAAAAGACCCATCCCAACAAACCCCCCCACCCCCCCCCAAAAACTACCTAAGTAGTTTTGTCAGTATTGAGTAATGTCACATTATTATATAAATAACCCTGTATACAAGCTCCAAAAATCTAAACTTTAGTTTAATAGCCCCTCTAATACACTAGGTCAAGCTGTGTAATAGTGGTGTACATAACAGAAGGAATAAACCTCTACACAAGTCACTCCAATTCAGTCTTATTCGTAGTACAGTTCCTACTAACACTGAAATTAAAAAGAATCCAGCACTACTGCATCTAACTATTGCTTCAGACCCCAGGAAAGCCGGATGTTTTGATCCTGATTTCATTTCCCCAAACAAACAGCAGGTGGCTGGGTTGACAAGCTTGCTTTGATACAAGTATCCCTCCCCCCAACATAGCTAGTCTAATTCTTACCACCCTAGTAAATCATATGGTGTATTTAATAGAACCACAAATGGGAGGCTAGACAACATAAGCAATAGGGGCACTGCAGACAACTATATTTACACGTATAAACATATCCAATTTCAATTGTTTACAAGTAAAAGTGCACATAGATCATTAACGAAGTATCACTCAAATTTCAACTGGTCCATACAATGAAGCATCACCTGGAAATGGACTAGCACTGCAGTAATTAAAATTGGAACTTCATAGTGAAAAACTAAAAGACAGTTTCCATAAAAATATTCTAAAAAAATATTAAAAGTCAAATGAAGAGATACACATCTCAATGTATCAAATTCATGACGCACCATGTATCCAGTAAAGTAGAGCTCTAGAAAACGCCTACTGTGGCTACCCCAGCAGCTGCAGCACTGTGAAAAGAGCCAAGACACAAAGCCCTTTGTGGGATACTGTAAGTGGTAGTGTTGGCAAACAACAGATTTAGGCACTCTAGTTTAAGGCAGCATTTGAATGGCAAGTGGTTGACTTCTGAAAACAGTCGTTAGCTCGCAGTGTTGAATCTCTCTGGACGTGTTCCAGGTTTTCAGTGCTCACAACAGGTTACTGAAGTGCTGAAGATGGACCACAGTTCTAGGAGTTTCTCTTGATTGCATTGTAGGCTAGAGCATAGATGTAGCATTTCCCCAAATCAACACAAATACATATGGTCTCTTATCAGTTATGCCAAAAACTGGAATGTAATGATGGTTGCAGTGGTATAGTTATAGCAGCATACATGGATACTGGTATGGAACTCTAGTGCTGAAGATAGTTGAAGAAAATGATTTGTTACAAAATAAGACAAGCAATGATGGCAAAGTGTTATGCAGACATGCCCGACTGTCCTAGGCATGCAGGAGGAGGTTAACGGCGAGCATGGAGGTGGTACAGGCAGACTGATAACTGACTTATGGTTCTAAATGACTGCCAATTGAGTTGAGAAGAATGTAACTGAGATATAACCAAAATATAGCACAAGGTGAAATATAATTTGTGCATCCGGAACAACTTAGACAATGAAAATAAAGCAATTTTAGGAGCAGTAGCTTTGTTACTCTGGTAATGGAACTCTCTTTTCCTGCACAAATTGAAGAATTTGTATCACCATCCTTACCTATGTATGGAGATGCTAAGATGTTAGTGACTAAATGTATGTCTGCATGCATTCATGCAACTAGCTTTTCCCCTTGGGCCTCCCAGTCTAGAACCCACCCCCCCACCCCCCAGCAGCTGCATGTAACCTCCTTCAAGATCTCGCCCATTTTCTCAGAAACCCGCTTCAGGAACCTGCAGTCCAAGAGGAAAAAGAAAAGAACACAGTTACTGAAGGCCTTTAGAAGACAGAGAAGCGTGCTTGGTTCTAACAGGCCCTTCTCAGTGGCTACACATCAGCCTTGTACTTAATTCCACAGACTCTTGTTAGAAACACAAGCCACAGCTATTAGATTAGCTTTTTCTCTTTCACCCTAGTAATCAAGTAGTGCAATGCCATTTCCAGTCCTCAGAGGGGGAACTGCTGCATATTTAAGATTTTTTTTCAAACTAAACATGATGCAATTCAAACACTTATTTTACAGGCACAGATTAAGACTATAACATCATTCTATGTCAGGAGCAGAGAGAGGTTTCAGTAACACATCAAGCATTACATACGGTGTTTTTCTTTGCTTTAAGGTATCTAGAGTTAAAACAATAGAGTTGTGTCCGATACACAACACTCTACATTACAAGTGCTGAAAAGAAAGGAGAGCCAGGTCAGTGGACTTAGTGTCCTCCTTAATCATAATGTTTTTTCCTGAGTATTGTTGAGCTTTCAGAATCAGGAAACATTTTCCTGTTTAAGAAGTGAAAGCTGCCAAGTACTTGTTAAGGAAGGAAATTAATAATTTTCAGTAACTGAGTTCAGTTAGTTCTTAGAGGAAAAAACCCTCTATTTAAACATTTAGTTTAAGTCATAAAAATGGCATTGGTAAATTCTGAGAGAGATTATCTTTAAAACTAAGCCATTTTTCAGCTGTCTATAAAAACAAAGTATTCTAACAGAACAAGCAGAATCTGGTCTTTTGCAGTATGACAGCTGAATTGGATTTAGTGGTTTGTAAGGCAGGAACCCTAGTACATCAGTTAAAGCAGAAGACATTGGTCAGACTTCCCAACCAGTGTAAGACAGATATGTAATTTAGGGTTATCATCTCTGAAAAAAACTACAGCAAACTCACATTGCAAACAACAGACCACTGTCGATATCATAATGCTTTCCATGAACCTCTGTGACTTTTTTTTTTTTTTTTACACTATTTTGCCTGGGGAATGTACAACTGAAAGCTGCCAGTTTATCATTAGATATAGGTTACTGCACCTTTGCTGTTTTTCTCTAGTGTTACATCTATATATGATGTTGGCACATAGCCTTCCTCTCCATTATGTCTTCGAGCTCTTGTCCACCCATCTCCTTTGTCCTCTTCAATAATGTACAGAATCTCTCCTTCTTTCATTGCCAGAGTGCCTTCATTATGACCTGGGAGAAACAAGAGGCAGATAAATTTCAATGTTCAGACAGAATTTCAAGTCATCTTTTTCCCAGGGCACAGTTTCCAGATTATATATAAACAGGAAGAACCAAAAATCTGTGCAACATAACATATGTTCAGACAGGCTTACAGACAAAAACCTACTCTGATTGTAAAGCTGAATATTTGCCAATAGTTGTGCTAATATTTATTTTAAAACAGCACAAGAGCACTGCTCATGAATTCAGGTGATGATTTGTAAAGTATTTCCACAAATCTCATGAGCAGCTCATTGCTCATACAGTTGATTCACTTTAAATCATTTTACCTGTCTTTTCCATAAGAAATAATCCATGCCCTGTAGTCAAGGAATGACTGTGCATGCTGTGAACCTTACCATCAAAGGGATATATTGCCTTGCAATGTCCTATAGCTGGTAATGGATCATCATCTTCAAACTCATCATCAAACTCACTGGGTTGCACATGTTGCTGTGGTGGGCCTCGAACCTCCTGACTGGCATCATCCGTGTAACTGCCTTCAGGGCTATAATGCAATGATTGGAGTGTGAGGACTCTGAGGAGTTTTTAGCTCTAAAACTTGGAACATACATGTGTCACAGCAAGGGAAAAATCACTCTGGGAAGGCCCATTAGTCATTTCTGTATGTACTGCAGGAGGTGATTTTCTGAAAACAATGACCTAGGAAAGGCTTGGACTGAAATCTGCTACAAAAACAAACGTAAATTCAAAAGCAACAGAATCTTAAGCAACAGAATCAGACAGCTTTAAAAGGCTATTTCTTGAGTGGGTGTTTTGATTACACTCACTTTTTTAATATTACCATAATGACATGAAATCACCTCTAGAATTCAGAACCATTAAGATCTTCCTTTAGAAGGATATAAACTTTCAAGGGATAAGTAACAACCATCACCTACTGTTAACTATCAAAGAGATGTACTCATTCTAGCATAAAGGTAGTAGAGATAGAATAATGACCTCTCTCTGCCCTGTGTTACAAGGTGGTTGATATCACTGCTGTGCCGCCTGTCACTTCTGGCTGCTACTTTACCTTCAACTTCAGAGAGCCAGGCCTTAGGGGAAAAAAAGACAAATATTGGTGTCAAAGAAAACTTGATTCTAAACCATCAAAGACCATTTAATACACACATGTAATTGCATACAGCCACACACCCTGCATTGACAGGGAAAGTCTCATCATCACTTCATCTATCCTTCATGCTTAGCCCATACTCCACAGTCTTCAGAAGAATTATCTTTAATCACATAAAAAATTCAGATTAAGTGAATATTAAGAAATTCTTCTGAAAAGTAAAACTTCTGTATCCTTCTGAACAGTGTACATCTTTAATAATGCACATCCTTAGCTAGATGAATGTACTTCAAAATATGGCACCCTACAAACAATCACATCAGAAGCACTTTCTTAAATCAGGTAGTTTCTCCAGGTGCTGCATTTACAAGCCTACAAAGCAAACTACAACTTTACCATTCATTTACGTTTTCCAAGGAATTGTTTTAACGTCTCACCTCATTCTTATGTATTTCCATCCGCAGACGATCCATGTTGCTCATAGTCTCAGTTAATTTCGGTTGCAGACTGCTTGGATCACCCATCTGGGGATTTTTTTCATAAACATCCTTCATCTTTATGAGAGCATCTCTAAAAAGATACAAAACCCAACAAGACTTATTACACACCAGTACTGGTTCATTAAAGTTAAAATAATGCTCATGTGTACGAGCTTGTGACCCATAAGCATGGACACGAACTACTGCTCCCATACCACAACCAAGTCTTTTTCCCATTCTGTCATCTTAGCACTGCCTGCCTCTTCAGTCGTGCACAAGCACACAAGGACACCAACTATAACCTCTGCTCTATCCAGTCTTGTTACTGCTTCCCATATTGTTTGTTATACACATTTTCCCAAAATATGAATAACATTCTATTCTTAATGCACCAAGTTGCAGCTCAGTTGCTCAACAACCTTTATTTCTCTATGCATTATTTTAGAGTTCCCTATGCAACATCAGGATCAAAATGTGTATTATAGCAAAGCAGAAGGAAGCAATGCTAACTGAACTTACGTACAATAAAACGTGAACCAAAAAATGCTTTCTAATAGCCTGGGCTACTATATCCTCTCTTAGCTTCTGAGTGCTGTTGGCTTAGGTAGGGGACTTGAAAAGAGAGAGAATCACAACAAAGCTCAAAAAAAATGCACTCACTTTTGGTCTGTTTCCTTCTGTAGTTCTCTGTTAAGTTCATCGATTCTCTGCTGCAGTTTCTTGCGTCTTTGTTCTGGAGGGAGGTGGCTGAAATCTTCTAATGCAGGGCCCTGCAAGTAAAAATACTGTTAAACAAGTGACACCCACACATCTGGAGAGCCGAACTGACATACCCACACACGGACAGCATTCACTGGAAGCAGGATGGACCTTCTAAAAAGCCCTACTTAACACACAGCTCTAAACCAGACCCCAACAGAAGAAACACACGTTCTTGCTGCCAGGTCGTAGTCATTCATTCAAGGTTCTCAATGCTTTCTGTTAACAGTTGGCTTGCAAATGTAGTTCAAAATTTGGAAACAATTATTTTTCTGAGATGCTAAGCCATGTGCCTCCTATTACACCCACTGCACTTAAAGCAGATTTAGAAAGGACACAGTTACCTAGTAATTTTAGTCAGAACAAAAATCTAAGATGAGTACGTAATAATACTAATGATAATATGCATATAATTGAATCTTTCTCTGGAGTGCATCTTCTATGGCGATTTGGAAGTTATGAAAAGAAAAATACTGGATATTCATTCCAAAGAACTACTCTAGTTCTCTTCTGGAAGTTCAGCAATCTGGCTAAGGAAACACATAAGATGTATTTTACCTTGAGTCAAACTACTTCATAGTAAAAGCCTTTGTAACAGCAAAACTTTGGCTTAAACTTATGAAATGTACTAATCTGATTCAAAACTTGCTCAAGTATTCAAAGACACTTTTTTTTTCAGTATCCTGAAATTATTAGAAAAAATGTTTCAGGGAGGGATAAAACCTCTTACTTTCCAAACTCATTTATTTACTTGTCAAACCAAACTGGTCAAGAAGAAACTTGACAGAAACATGGCTGTTGTGATTTGACATACAGAGTCTTAGGCTCAGGTGCCAAGTTTCCACCACCCCTTTTTAACATGCTCTTGCCCCTCAGCTTCTTGATTCTTTTGCACTTGTAAAATCACAGTATCACTGCTTCTTAAGGAGGGACAAGACACCACAAAAGGAGGGAAATCAAGACACAATGGGTCCAAAAGAAAGCAGAAGTGTTTCTTTCTGGAGCAAAAAAAAATAAAATCCTTTCAGGTGCTTTTGCACACTGTGAAGGAACAAGGTCAGTTAAAACTACAGCAACAATCAGAAGGACAGAGGTCTGTTCGTGAAGTTTTACTGATCTACTCAGCAAAATAACAATATTAAGGTGTGGTTTTTATTCCATAGAACAGCTTTCTAGGATTTCTCACAGTAAAGGAACATCTCCCCTGCCATTTTTTTGTTAAATCCCAGGGAATGAGTTTTGCAGTATTCAATATTTCTCCTTTAAGCCAGCTTGTAATCTTTTCATGTATCTATTTGATGCCGCTTTAATAATTTTCCTGACAAAGCAAAATCACCCAGTATTTCCATCATGACCAACTGGTCAACCCTAAAATTCCAAAATGACATTTAGTTGCAGCCAGATGACAAGTCTAGTTGTCTTACATTAAGCATGGATGATTGAGAAGACTGCATGTATAAGTGGAACATCTGAGGATGTATTTCAGCACCTGACTTAAAGCAGTTATGATATGGAAACAGTTTCAAAAGGTTACTTTCATGCTATCTTAGCAGAAGTACAGCAGACAGATCAGCACACGGGCTTACCATCTTCACCGACCACTGCACAGTTCATTTGAAAACAGAAAGAAACGGGAAATTATTCACATGCAATGACTAGATCCTAAAAATGTATCTTTATAATATTACTTAAGATTCATAATTTCATAAAAACCACACTTCACTATGAGCACAAGAAAAGTGAAATACAATGATCAGAAATGCACTTCTGCTTTAAGAATTACTAGGTGATAATGGGTAGTTTAACTTACAAAATTCCAAACACAACTTCATGAAATTACTTTTCAATTTCAGTGTTCTGAATAATAAATATGTTAAGGAAATTCTATTGTAGGAGAAGAAACAAACACACAGCCAACACTGCACAAAATAGCAGAATTTGATGATGATGAAGGACTGATCAGCCATATGCAGGTAATTTGTTCATTATAACTAACAATCCACTACCATCACTTTTACAAATCTAATTTCGACAATGTATTTATTATCACTGTAGAGCTACAACAAAGATATTTTTCAAGTTTAAAAGTTAGTAACTTCCTGAAAACTGCATGTGGGTCATTGCTGCTATCCTGGAAATGCTCTAGTCCAGATATAAATACAAACATTTAAAGAGTAAAGGCTTTATCCTTACAGGAAGCAACAAAAATGCGGGATGCCAGAAATCATATCTTGAGTCAAGCATTCGCAGCATTTTGAAGACCTGCAATGCCTTCAATGACTTCAGATAATCCTTTACAGAGAAACACCAAGCAACTGAGCAGATATGTATCTCTGATATAATTTCTGATCCTCAGCCATTGTTAATGCTGTTGGTAGGGCTACACACACACTAAATCTGAATGATACTTTGGTAAGAAACCTCAGTAAAGTCCAAAGATGTAAAATAATAAACTTCTTGTTCCCTTTATAAAAGGTCTTCCATGAAAACGTGAGGCTTATATATCGCTGTTGACAATGCATCTATTCACACATTGGGTGGCACTGAGCAAGGACCTCTTAGCAGCACTAATGCTATCTGGAAATGTTACAGATTCAAGGGATAGCAAGCAAGCGTGTAACAGCAGCACTAGTAAAGCTAGTTACACTTGCTTACACTAACCTGTCCTACAGCTATGGTTGCTGCTTTCGGTGAACATCAGGATAGGAAAATCTACCGGGTGAAGTGCAGAATGTATGCAGCCTGGCTTGTGATCTCCACCGCCTTGAAGCGCAATCTTGTACTGGGCATGTTCAACAGAACAGCCAGCACACTCACAGGATTAGCCTGACACGTGCCAATGTTAGTTCTGCATGTCAATACCTCAAATGACATAATTTTCCAGGGAAAATTTGTGCAAAAACACATCATACACTAGCCACTAGGAGGCACTGAATCAAGATGTACTGTAAAAATAAGACTGATGGTATAAAAAAAACTATTAGAATTAGAGTATCCATTTCAGTTCAAAAGGTACTCGGTACGTGAGAATGCAATGTCTGCTGAAGTGCTTGCAAGGAGATTCAGAACAGATAAATGTGCATCCTGAAGGTTTACAGATATTAGCTGTTTAACCCTGTGGGATATTTGAGTTAATCTAGATTTGCAGGGTACTAGTGACCCTTGCTAATTTCATGGAAATATATTGTGTATTAAATTAATTCATTTTTACAACATGAGCAGCAATTAAAAGGAATTTAAGACTGAAAAAAATATTTAAAATATGGTTTAACTTTCTGTTAGCATTCTGTAGTTGCTGGGAGATGGTCTTTTGCTTCGGTAGGAGGTCTAAGAACTGCTGTATTACAGGTGTTGATTTGTGAACCAGGAGTCAATACATTTACTCATCAGCAAAAGGAAGTATAGTCAAGACCTAAGCCATTTCAAGAACTGTCTAACCCCTCCGTAAGAACTAAAGGAGGAACGTTCTCTTAGTGACCATCACAAATTATGAGATAAACGACTCAGAAGGGGAGAGACTGTCCTCCATACACGCTTAAAGGAACACAAGAACCTTCTAGAAAATCGTGGTTGTAGAAAGGCTATTTCCAAGGTATGTGGAGACCTGAAATAAGATGCCACAACATGATTTAAAGAAAGTTCTAAGTGTAACTCATTACACCTCAGAACAGCAGCAAAGGAGCCTCTAAATCATGACTTTACTGCAACGTAACACTGGTGTATTTCGATCTCCACGTTATGTCAGCAGTAGTCAACCATTCTTGCACGTGAGACAGCGGGTCGATATTGTTCTCTGATACAAATTATATATAATTCAAAGGCATCCAATGATTTGGATCAATAAATATAATAGAACATACAGAAACTGGGCAGCCTGTAGTGATTGCACTGCATAACAGCAGAGTGCCAGCACATTTATCACCAGTACTATAAATGTTGCTAGGCAACCACTTAGCATTTCCCTTTGTATTGTCTCCTAAATTCTATCTGGGGAACATGCCACTATAAATTAGTAAATGAATCGATACATCTCAGAAGGTGGTACTTGGCAGTAACTTGTCAATAATTTTATCCCAACGAACCTTGCATAAAAACCAAGGTGTTCACCAGAAAATGCATTAAAAGTGTAATGTTTCAAAAAAATCAGTATATCAAAATCTGAAGAGCACTGTGTGCTATAGCATTTAATGTATAAAAGAAGTGAAATTCCTCCCTTCTCAGTTCAGTGTCTCATCATCAGCTCCTATTATTGCAACTGAAAGCCAGCAAGTAAGCCATCTGCTCTGTCAGATGGTTTTTTGTGGTCAGACTATATACCCAACGATAAATAACTGCAAAAACATGTTACACGATGGTAGGAAAACATTTGTGAATGTGAACAACAATGAAGAAAGGTATCAAACACATGCTGAGCACCCTCTTTATAACACCTTTCTTTTAGGCGCAAGTATCTGGAATGCCACAAAGACGATTTCTAGTTTGTTTTTGTATTTAACCTGTTGGTAACTTCAGTGTAACATGAAACAAAGAATCCCAAAAGTGACATGACAGGCACAGTGTTACTTTTAACAAAGCAAGCCTTATAAGGAGGGTGAAGAGCATGAGAAAAGCCACATCACAAACACACGGCTCATAGCCCATCATGCATTTCAACTTGTTATCAAACTTACCCCTCTTTTGAGGCTTCTGAAAGAAGGAATTCTGGGCTTCCCTGTTTTTATGTCACTCATGCAATAATGCACTGGTTCAATGGAGAATATGGGATACTGGGACCCATTAGGAGTACTGGATGTGTATAAACTAGTAGGGGTTAGTGGTGGGGATTGTGGCTAATGTGGAAATAAAGAAAGCAATAAATAAGCCAAATGTTCATAGTGATTTTAAAATGAAAATTCTGTCTTACAGAAATAAAATCCCCATCTAATGCAGAAACTGTTTGTAATGTTCCAGACACATTTATGCTGTAACTGCACTTGGTTTTAAAGGGTTTCCGTCGTGAAGTAATATTCAGAGTTACAGGTTGGTGCAGAGAATTAAAGAATACTCAAAAAAGCTGTGGAATCAACATTTCCAAGAGATCCTAACAAGATCCCCACGCTGCCTTTCTCTTAAAACAGGAAATTTTGCTTTTCCCACCTTTAGTTACAGCCATTCGGGAAGCCTGTGTGTTCCTGCTCACTGTTTCTCCCTACATCTCTATGCACCCTACCAGGTGAGCCGAAACAGAACTGTTAGGTACCTCTATGGGGATGACTTCCAACAACGAGTCTATTCCATGTCTGCAGCCAAGCTGGACTGACACATGGCTGCATGGAGTTCTTAATAAATACCATTGCCAGAACTTCCTCCCCTTTCTTCCCCCCCATTTTTCAGATTCCTTCTCTCTTTTTGTGTCTCATACCTCTGCTTTTTTTCCCCACTTCCATTTTTCTGTTCTATTTCCTCTGCTGCACAAATTGTTCCCTTTCCAAAAGACTTGTGTCTCTCACAACATCAAAAATAGGTAAACGTATATTTCCTAAGTCAAAACCACCCATAGTTTCAGCTAAATGAAGGCCCAAAGGCCACCATGAGTACACCAGCTATAATAAATCCCATTTTTCTATTACCTAGCTTAAGAATGTATTAGAAAACCTTTAAGTAGCATCTACAATTAAATATGTATCTCCCAATCAGTATTTTGCTCCCAGCTGCTGTTCAGTAGAGCGCTTCTTCATTCTCCCCCGAAACAGGTGAAAAAAAATATAAATCAGACAGACTATTCCATTTCCTCTAGGTGCTTAAGGAAGAGATGCATACCATATGTATAAACACATGTACGTCTGTGATTCCATGCACTAAACATTAAGGCTGAGTGCCACATACAGAGGGAATAAACTGGGGAGAAGAAAGTAAGGACAGCCCTGCCAGCTTTCTTCAGCTGTCATCAGACATGGGGATTTCTTAAGACTACAGTAAAAGCCAAGGTCCAGACTGAAAACCAGTATCTTCATAGCTTCCCTATCCCAGATTCTCAGCGAGATGTCTTGTTGTCAAACTGAACAGGCTGATCTCACCCCTTCTGCAGCCAGATGCAATAAGTATGCTAATGCACTGATGCATTTAGACCATTATCAGTTGTTAATTAAACTGCATGGAAAGTAAAGAGTTTTCACACAGCTGCAGTTGCATAATACACTGAGTAGGCAATAAGGAATCAGCAATATCCTCTCAGTGAAAATCTGCTTTCTTGGAATACTATCAAGTGGAAAGGAAGTCCTACCACTAACAAGCTCTAAGAATAGTTTCCTAAAATAAATGGCAGAAACTGACTTGGAGCATTAAAGTAACCCCATATAGATTTGTGGGAATCATTAAAGTGACTCACTGATACTAATATATATATACACTATACTCCAATACTAAACAGAGCCCTAGGGTAGATGCTTTACTAATCGTTTATATAGCTAATGCATGTATTGATAATCTCTTTTGTTATTCCATGAAGGCATCTTGCACAGAAAGTGTTAACCAAAACTCATAGAACAATACAAGAAAGGCATAAGGTATCTCTGCTTTGCATTTTTCTTGGGCATGCTATGTATTGTTACCTATTAAGTATTAATACCTATTGTTACCTATTCCCTAGAATATTTGTTCTGGGACTTACACCCATACAAAACTTGACCAGTATGTTTTATCAATGAGGCATTGTAAATTTTAGTGTTTTCAGACAAACCTCAACCTTTCATAAGCAGCAGCAGGTATAATAAAAATCTGTATGACACTCCTATATATAAACATCTACAAAACATGACATTTAGAAAGGGGTTGCTTTCTGTAGTGTAACAGAGATCTGAAGTCTGCCCAATTTCAAAGTGCACTCCCCCTTTACATTCACAATTAACACCTTTCCTATGCAACTGCAGGAAGTCTTTCCAGAATCTCAGAAACGTTTCAGAAAGCAGAAGCCACTTCTATCAAATAACCATTAAAAACATTCCCAGGCACAAAGTACTGGAAGAAAAATTAGAACACTTCTCCCAGTGACAACTTGTTTTGTAGTGTGGCAAGTGTCCAACCCCAGTCATACCTTCAGATCTCCTTATGTGTGTTTTAGAAGGCAGTGGCAGGCAAGGGGAAAGCTATTTAAAAATAGATAAATTGCTGCTTCCATGCACTCTAGATTCTCACATTTTAGTTTCCCAAGTAATAATTTCTTAATTGTTACCTTTGGCTTCTTTCCAAATAGCCACAGCTTTCCTTTCGATTTGCCCACTGTAGTTTTTGTATCAATTCTCATTCCCTCCTGCTTTGGTGTACTGATGGTTCCATCAGAGATAGTTCTGTAAATATTCTGACTGTAATCTTCAAATGGGAAATCTCCAGGAGGTTCAAAACCGGATTTGAAGCAGTCTATCACTAGTTGAGAGTCCTAAACACAGGACATTGAGGGGATTAAAAAGCAGAACAAGCAAACCCATCAACAACCAGAGAGGAAAAAAAACAACAAAACAAACCATGGAGAAGTAACTTTTCCCTTTAATTGCACAGATGGGAAGATGAGAGAGAGCTCAGAATGCATTTTTCTGGAGAGATCAAGTTAAGATAATGTATGTTTTTTCTCTCAGCAGTGTTACCATGAGTGTAGATCAAAGCATACCCTGCTCTTCAGAATCCAGCAAATACTCCCCAAATATAATAAGGGTTATCCCAAATTTAAAACAGGACATGCTTTAGGGGCGTACTACGACTCCACCTTCTAACATTAATACTGAAATGAAGAAAACACTAAGAAGCTAGATGTAGTAAGATAAGATAGGGAATAATCCTTATTATAAGGAAGAAGTAGTTCCAGTAGCAGCACTCAAACAGGACACTGAATGCTAATTTGTTAACTGAACGCCCTTTTTTATGGTTGAATGCTATATGCTGGAGAAAACCATGCTGGTATTCCAGGATGTTTCAGGATAATCTAACAATGTGTCAAAAATCACACGCAGAAAGCATCAAAAGATCTTCAGATCACAAGAAAATAACTGCACAGGAAGAACAGACATGTAAAGTCAAAGTGACCATTTGGGCTAAAACTTAAGTCACAACACTTCTAAAGGAGACAGATATTTGACAACAGAGAGATAAAAGTGGAGGCCAAGTCCATCTTTCCCCTCTCTGCAGCTTCCGTATCAGTTACATTGCTCATGCATATTTACATGGTTGCTCAATTCTACTTACTCTGTGTTCATCAACTGATTTGGCTGCAAGGATCATCCCTTCTAAACATTTAGAGATAATGGGAATAACCTTGCGCTCAGAGTCAGCAAAGCCTTTGTAGCATTCACTGAGTTTGATAGTCCTTCTTTCATCCATTTCTTGAAGTTGCTGCAAGCACAAAACGAGAAAAAAGGAAGTTTTTGTTTGCAGATTTCCCTCCCCAATCCTGATGTATGCAGTCACTGTGGTCACCAGTGCAGTACAGAATCTCTCTGCCTTTCCAGTGTTTTTATTTGCTTAACAAAACAGAACTTAATTAAGTTTAAAAACAAGTCCTTTCAGACACAGACTTAAGACGCACAGAACAGTAATTACGAAGACCTGATACTATCTGATTTATTCTTTGTTAAACAACGTGCAGGGTCTGCGGCCACCTATTTACTTCAGAGCATTTGTTTAATGAAAAAATTAAAACTACAGTAAAGAAATTGTACTGATTTCTACATGTCCTCACTCTTATTTGAGTTCCAAATAAATTCTGTCTGGTGATAACACCTCTATCCTGCTTTTTATTTTTATACTTCCCAATATGTATTAACAATGAGAAAATCAGGACACAACAGACACATTAAAATTATGTGATTTAGACATGCTCTTTGAATTTCAAATACAAACCATTTCCTTTAGAAGTGTGCAAGAAAATAAAGAAAAATACCATTACATAAGATTTGTAATAAAAGTCTACTGGAACAGAACAAAAAAGAGCAAATGAAGAGAAACACTATTTTGAGTATTTCTCATCATAAAAGCCCTGGACCCTTCCCCTAGTAAAAGGCAGAAAAAAAAAAAAAAACAAAACAAAAGAAAACAAGGCCAGGTTGGACGAGGCCTTGGGTGATACGGTTTAGGGCGAGGTGTCCCTGCCCATGGCAGGGGGGCTGGAACTTGATGATCTTAAGGTCCTTTCCAACCCTAACTATTCTATGATTCTATGTATCAACAGGTTATAAAAAAATGGGATAACAAGTTGGATCTTTCCTGAATCTGCTCTAGCAATGGCAGATGACTCAAACAGCATCCAATTTCAGCTCTCCAAAACAAAGCAGCAACCCAGTCATACTAAATTCCTCTCCTAGGGTTCTCCCACAGAATGTTATCAAATACCTGCAAGGAAATAATAAAGATGTAGTCCCAAGAGGGAGCAGGACTAGGCCTTTCTGCTTGTATTGGAGGTTTAAAAAGCCCTAAGTAATATCTTACAACAATAATGGATTTTAACCCTGGAGAAATAAAGGCAGTAAACCAAAACCTTGGCCCAAGCTACAAACGAAGATTATCACACTGTTTCTACTGGGAGCTGACTGCAATTCCTCCCTCAGCATGCTAATGCTACATCTACTGCAGTGCTGCCTAACAGTTCAAACACTAGAAAATTCTTTCATAAGCCAAGACCATTTTCTCCTGTGAATCCCAGACCTTCTAGTACGTGTTTTTTCAAAACTATGAACTCCCTTGTGCTTCTGGAACATATCAAGCACAATTAACCTGGTGCACCACTTTATTTTCACTTTACTTTTCCTCACTCTATGTCTTAGAGTCAGTTACTGCAGTCACAGTATCTCCCAAACAGCTGAATGTCAATGCCAACACACTTTGGAACTCTCCTTCACCTAGCACCCTGAACTGCTTTACTTTAAACGAGTTTTGCAAGGTCTCTGACTCTGAAAGAATCTTAAAAGAAAAAACCTTAACAGTTACATGAAGCACCTTAAGAAACCCCCTTTTTAGGTATAAAGTACTGAGCCAATTTGAGCTTTGAGGGTTCTTTCATTATTTACAGAATTCTGTCAATTGCTGGTAACACGGATGAAGCAGTGACAGGGGCGAGTAGTTCTGCTCCTGATCCTCCCATTTTATACCTGCGTATGACATATGTTAAAGCACACGGTCACCATTACCTATATGCTTTCCTCTGTCTCTGCCAGAGTCAAGTCATTCACAAACACACAAGTATCAAGAGAACTAATGATCACGTCTTATTGAAATGACGATTTTAAATGTTCGCTCTCACCTAGATGCCTCAAATATTTATTTTGCCATATCTCTTCAGCAATATTTAAACAAAGAGGCCATAAAATAGAAAGACTTCATAGAAAATGCAATAGTTATTTTCATTACAAGTCTTGGCATTATTACTGTAAACAGTGTCTCGTGATAAAACACAGGTTGCATCAAGATTCTGCTCATTTCTTGATAAAGTGATCCACTAAAACCCCTTCAAATAAAGTTCCAGATTTTAAAATCTACTTCTCCTTTAAAAGACCAAACCTATTTTCTTACCTTATAAATCTGAGGAATGACAATGTAGTAGTGTTTGTGCTGCTCTCCATTAAAATTCTGTAGTTGTGCAGCATACTCATTTTTGTTTTCATCAGCCATATGTGTGCGCAGGTTTAACTGTTGCTTAGCCTGGGAGGGAAGTTATCAGTTCAAACATGTCTTGTGTTTTTCAATTACCTATAGCATTATTTTATTTTACTAACTATGCAAAAGCACAAGTCATCAAAACTGACATCCTTATAATTGAAATAGAAAGCACATGAAACTTCATCTACACTGACAATCTAGTTGCTATATATGATATATAGCAATGATCATTTTAGCTCCCTTAGCCAGGTTGCTTAAACATGTATCCTAAAAACCAGACGGGACTGAACATACATATCACAAGATACCAAATACCACTAAGCCTCTGGTATGTGTCGAGATTACATTATCTCAAGAGCCTCACCTTGAGACTAATGAAATACACTCCCTCTCTGTGCTCTTTCACTTTACAGGAACATTGATTTTGCACATAATATGCAAGCATACTGTATACACAATTCTATACTCAAGTCAAAAAATATTGTTCCACCTCCAATGATAAACAGGCAAATAAAGTATTTTTATAATCAACAGAGTAAAGAAACAGCACCGCTCTCACCTTCTCAACATCAGCTTTTGTCGCATTAGTGTCGTTGTCCAGTCTTTCGTAGCTTTGTTGTGCCTTCTCTGCCTCCCTGCATTCTCTCTCAAATTTCTTTTTGCTCTACAAAAGTCACAGATTTGTTGCTTCAACAGCCACCATCCACCCCCTCTTGGCTTTGTACAGTAATTCTGAATTCTAAATATCAAACCTTCCAAATAAATATCTGAAATCCACTAAGTACCTTGAAGTAAATGTAGTTCTCACATCAAACAAGTCTCAAACCTTTTCAACTGTTCTATTTAAAACTTACTTCCTTGAAACACCAGCAAGGAAACAAGCATAATTACACTACAAAATATCAAATGATCAGAATACAAAACAATCTATTAGAAAGATCCACAGATTATTATAAACAAGCAAGTCCACTTTATAGCCTGACTTCAATAATCTCAATAAAGGGGCAGGGGGAGGAGGCAAAAAACCCTTAAACCTGGGCTTGCCTGGGTAAAATTTTCAAGTTCCCTTCTTCAGTGATCAATTTGACTTGAATTAAGCTAAATTACTTTTAAGGTAGCCTGAAGGATTCATGTACATCACAAGTTCTTAGCATATCCATCATTATCAGTATTCATACCAAGTGGCATAGCTGTAAGCAGCACAGATAACAGCATTCAAGGAACTTGATGTTCAACATATCCGGCTGTTGTCAAGACAACTGCTGTAGGAAAAACTACTGCAGTTCAAGAAGTTGGTATCTCTAGAGACAAACCAGCAACAGAGCCTGCGTAACCGCTGCTCTCCTGCTTCAGGGCCAAGTCAGGCAGCAGAGGCTAATGTGTCCCTTAAAGGCTGTATGCATTTAAAACACTGATTTTGCACTCAAGTAAATACATTGCACACAACACAACTGATAGATTGAAATGAAAACTACCACATCTGCTTCTACTCTGATCCTGTGACCATGAATTAAACTCTGGCATGACACTGAAGCAAGATATTGCCTGTCTGGGTCCACAACAACAAAACAGAAACACACCTCTCCAGTATCGCTTCACAATCTGGATTAAAGATAGAAGAAATATCTAAGACACAGAACCAGCAGAACATCAGAATGCATCTTGAAAACACTTGGTTGAATTTTTTATTTCCACATCTTTAAAAGAATGTATCTCAAGAAAAAGGAGCTGACAATCTGTTCTAGAGATGTGTGTTTCCTGTTTTTCTGTTAAAAGTAATTCTCCCTCCTGAGGTTATGATAGTCAATAGCAATATTCTTGATTAGACCTCATGTAACAACCCTATACAGTGACTTAAGGTTTTATCTTCATATAAATAGACTGTCATTATTAATGTCTCTCTAAAAAAACAAGTAGCCTGTGAAGAAGCAACCAAAGTCATCCGTGCCTATGTTAAAACCAGATTCCTTTAGGCTGGCTAAAAGCCAAGGCTTCACTCAAACATATGCAGCAGAAGCTGTTTATAGATCTTTTTTAAACAGGGAACTACAAATATATTGAACTGTATTTTGGATGTTACTAAGTTTGATTGGAACATTCAGTAATAGAGCTGAGCATTGAAGTCTAAGCAAGACACATGACAACAGTCCATTAACAGACTGTATATTATTAACTTGAACAGGAAAGAAAACACGCACAACAAAACGCAAACTCACATTATCCATCTGTTTCCAGCACATGTCCAAATACTGCTGAGCCTTTCGCCCTTCCTGAAGATGCTAAAAATACCACAGATAAGTTTACTTTACGTATCTTTTTTATACTGTTACCATTACTTAGTCCCTGCTCTAGCTGACACAGTATGACATGCAGCGTCTCCCACAAGTTACCAGTACTCTCTGGAAGACATTACTAATCATGTAATCACAAGTGAAAATTACACTGGCAAAAACACTGCTAATAAGCACTGTCTCTCAAGATCTTAATTTTTGAGTTTGTAAATGTAGTAAACCAGTACATAAAAATATCGAGTGACTTCACATGTGTGTTTTATAAATTACAAAACCCACTTATTGCCACACATCAATTCAATAAAAGACATATTCAGCTTGATATCATCCATTGAAAATATAGAAATTACCATTTTCCTCTCAGTTTTTAGATCATGAGAGTATCTCATCAATTCTCCATACACTCTGTGTCCCATTTCTTCTGCAACTACTTCTCGTTGTCCAGCATAGTCATTCAACTCATTAAGGATGTTAAAAAATGCAATACATGACGTAAACCTGATGGCAAGCACACACACACAAGCACACATATACAGAAAGTGAGACAGTTTGTTTACATGGAATTCTTTTATTACAGTCTGTACTCCTTATTAAATAAATTACAAGAAACCCCCATACACATTTTACAATAAACCTCATCTTAATGGGAACTGAATTACAGTACAAACCTAAGTTGGGAAAGCCCATGTTAAGCCTAGCATGTACTGTATGTTGCAATACCTCTTCAAACACATTTTATAAGAGTATGGGTTATTGTGGATGGAAAAGAAAGAAGAAGAATACTACCTGGAAAGCCCTGTAGTATAGTGTAGTATCTCCTAAGCTGCCAACACAGAAGCCTGAGCCTGGGAACGGATACATACATCCCTAGGCTTGGAGGCTGAACTTGCAGCAGAGATGATGTGCTTGGTAGTCTTGAGGGTGGAACATGCCAATCATACCACTCATATGCATCCCGATGGATGATCTACAGAACAGGCTTTGCTATCAGCTCTGGAGACAGCTGCCTGTTTGCCTGCCCACCTCTTGGCTGGAAGTAAGGTGCCACTATGGCTGGCACTGAAAAGGGGGGGAAAGAGGAGGGGCAAAGGGTAGAAGGTGTGTGTGGAAGGGAAAAAAAGAAAAACACAGGCACCACATTAAAACATAAAAACATTTTTCTCTTTTAACTGTGGAATACTGCCATATCCATAGGCTTGGCTCTGGGGAATTCAAATGCCATCCTAGGACTAGAAATCCTATTCCCTATGGTCCAGGATCTTTAAATAGTCAAAAGAGGAAAGCCAAGTGTGAATTCTCAGGCACCATGCACAGCATGTGCTCTGGCTGCAACCTGAAACTTGCCCATTTCTTTACTTCATAAGAGTCATCTCTAAGGAAAAAAAAGTGTCATGTATTTTCTAAATTAATAAAAAAAAGTCTCCTGGCATGAAGAGCACAAGCAGCACATCCCTGATAAATAATCAAAAGTAGTTTAGCACAAATTGCTCCTCCACATTCACTTACTTTATCTCTGGAATCAAAGCAAGCCAGCAGTTTATAAGGACTTCGGTCAAAAACATGCCAATTTTATGTATGCTCAAGTCTCAACATGCAAATGCACAGCTACGATCATATTGCCATACAAATGCACTGAAAAACTCTACCAAACTGAGCAAAAAACACAGCTAAGGACACATCACTGGTTTTGTACTAAAAAAATAATAGCTTTTCTACAAAAACAATACTAGACTGTCCATAGCACACTGAGCTACTGCTTTCACACCTCCAGCTAGCTTAAGATCCATTTGGAACAGAGCAAGCACAACCTGCCATGTTTACTGCTTTAAAATACAAACGTTAAGTAAACTCAGGTCATGCTTAAGGATTACCAAAGAACTGTAAGAAGCCAAGCAGAAGTCTTTGTCTGTCTTAAAAAACAAACCCCAAACCCCACAATTCCTCCCCCCCAAAACCAATAAATAAATAAATAAACACAAGAAGCCCCCACAAAACAGAAACAATCAAAAAAATAAAGAAACAAAAACCACAAAACAGGGAAGGAAAAAACCAACCCAAAATGAAAAAAAAAAAAAAACAAAAACAAAAACAAAAAACACCCCACAAACCAATGAAATAATTTAAAAAAACCTGAGACAAAATCAAGGAAACAAACAAAAAAAGAAACCAAAACCCCCCAACAAACCCCCACCCTGACACAAACAAACCACCACCACCACAAAACCTGAAATAAACAGGAAAACAGGGGAAAAAAAAATCCAAACAAAAAAAACCCAAACCAACAAACCACAAATAAAAAACAAACAAAAAAACACACCAAAAAACCCAAACCACCCCCCCCAAAATTAAAAACAAACAAAAAAACAAACCAAAACCCCAACCCCCCCAGCAAACAAAAACCCAAACAAACAAAAAGAAAAAAATTACACCCCACCCACCCACCCAAAAAAAAGCCCACCCCAAAGCAGACCAAACATCAAACACTGAAAAAAAACCCTTGAAACAAAACAAAAAACCCAAAGAAAAAAGGGGGAGGGGCAACAACAAAAACCAGAACCCAAAACAATAAAAACAAACCCAAACAAAACCACCCCTAAAAAAACCCACCAACAACCCCAAAAAACCAAACACCTCACCCTGAAACAAACAAACCAAAAAAAACACACCCACCCACCCCACCACCACCACCGGGAGAAGGAAACACCCAAACCAAACCCAAAAACCCCACCAAACCCTTCCCCTGAAACAAAATAAAACAAACAAAAAAAGCACCCCCCGCAACCAAACAAAAAACCCCCAAAACACCAACTCCTCCCCCCCCACCAAAGAGCAGAGAACACTCATTCTTAAGCATAGACCTTGCAATGCACATTTTTACCTGGGTTCCTCATCTTTGGGAGAGCGCTTAGGGCAATACTTCTTAACCAGATTTCTGTAAGGAAGAACAAACCAAAGACGCTATTTCGGGGTCTCTCCTGAGAAGACGCACACGCACAGACATTGAAAACTGCACAAACAGATCATTTATTTTCCATGACTTCAAGGAACAAATCTATTCCCTCTGTCATGTTACAAGGGTCCTTTAGATAATACAAGGCAAAAATTTGGCACTGTAAACACTTTAAATCACTGACCCAGCACAACACATTTATAAGTATTCTGAAACCTCTACTGCAGAGCGACAAGACATAAAATTATGAGTTCTTTATTTACCATCCTTTTCGCACACCAAAACAAGCCAGCAAGCTAGCAAACAGAAAAAAACCCAAATACACAATCACTGTGTAACACACAGAGAGCATACACCTTATGCTTATACCCATGAGCACAAAATTCCATGCCCGAGTTAAGCTTTACGTGTACATTGAGAACAAAGGTTTTAACCACAGTATCTGCACATCTTCAAGTAGGCTATTTCCAGAACAGAAGAGGCAACATCTGTTTTCAGGAACAACTGGAAAATACCAGGTTTTCAGAGATGAAGCAGATCTCTAGATGATGCTCCACAGAACTAGCATCTACATACACAGTGTCACAGTCCCAGAACACCGATAGGAACTCATCTGCTTATCATTCAAATATATAAAAGGCACCTTAAGAAATACACAAATGACATCACCTGCTCTACCCTAAAGCATAAGTAACACAGGTACATACAACACCGCTTAAACAAACAACTGCAAACTACTTGCAGAGACTGTTACAAATGTCCCAAATCCTGTGAACAGGAATAGCAGCAGCACAATTTTACAAACAGGAGGGGTAAGAGGAACGTCCAGTGACTTTCTGAATTCTTATCTTCTTCTATGTCAACCTTGGCTTTAAAACCCAGTTACTGTAGCACAGCATTCTGCCCTGACTTACAATACTGCTTCTCTGACAGGAATGAGCTCTTTCAAAATTCCTGAAATTCAAAACGTATGCTATCAATCTTGGAAAAAAAATTCCAGCTTTTTAGGAGCTGGATGTTCATGAATTCAATTGGTGCCACTCTTTATTCTAGCAGTTATAAGAATTGTCAGGTTTTTCCATGAAACTGAAAATCAGAACTCTACCACTATTCTTTCCCTGTGTTTGTCATGTTACAACAAATAAAGAATCTGGGTTTGTACAAAAGAAAAACAGGTAAGAGACACTGGGGTCTTCTCTAAAGACTATGTTCAGTCCTGAAGTATGTACCAAAACATGAGCAGGGAATCGGTGTGGAAATAGCAAGTTGAGACCCTTTGTGTCTTTTCATGCCCTTAGAAATCACAACTAGAAAGACCAACCATTATAAGACGGTTGAATCCTTTTATATCACTGTGTATTAGCAGACAGAATAACTCCTTAAAAATTCTCTGCAAATTAAGAACTTTCTCATTGGAGCCTCTTCGCTATCACCAGAATCCACTGCCCCTTGTAACGTTCCAACTGGTAGAGATTAAGCAGACATTTCGATTGGAAAAAGCCTAAACCCAAGGAGGAAAAAAAAGAATTGTCTTCTTTGCTAACATCATTCCCATGTTTCCTTTTCCCTTACATTTCCACCTTGCTCCTCAGTGCTTATTTACGAATGGGAATCACCTAAAATTTATCCTATACAGAAGGTGAAATGCATAATAAGCATACAATGCTGTAAGCTAAGCAACCATACATGAGCCTTTTCAAAGGAAGATTTTCACAGGTGTTGAAAAGGAGAGAACTGGAGAGGATTTGCGGACATGCAGATTTCTGTAAGGAGTTTCATGTTATAATGTTACTTTTTATTACTTCTAGGAAGACAAAATACTTTATAATCCTTTCTCCAACAAAAAGTCAGTTTCATTAGTCATCTTAGACTAATCATCTACCTTAGGATCACACAAACATAGTTTTGAGGCACTGTGTGATCAAGATTCAGTAACAGCACATGGTACAACAATCAAAGTCAGCATGAAACAACAAGCAAATGCAGAATTTAAAGCTCAAAGAGAAATACATTGTTCACATGAACAATGAAGCATAAATGGCTTTCCAAGAAGTGAACAGCAGCACTTGGAAAAACCAAAGAAATCCGATTTAATCTTTGAAAGAACACAGGCTGGAACACAGCAGGTATGACTGTGGGTCTGAAGAGTAAAACATTTCAAACTGGAGCCAGTTGACATTTCAAGGGCACATAACATCCTTTAACATTTTTATCTAAATGTGTGCCTAATCCTTAAGATCCAAATACAGATCTGGTGTAGTTTAGAAGAAAACTGCAGCAGTAATCACAGATAGTCAGAACTAAATCAAATCCAAGAGCTAAACTTCCTTAGAGAAGTCAACTGATGACACTTTAATCCTCTCTGGAAGTTATAATTTAAACTTCTACCATACTTTGTCTTACAGACATCTGGAAGCAGCTTTCATACAGGACTAACTACATGCAATTGTGCTGCTCCTGGAATTTCATCAACCTCTCTTCTCTGTATAAATTGGTCTCAGACCAAGACCAGTGAGACAGCAGCCTGGACGATATTACTTTCTGGACTATAGCACTGTCAAGAGAAGCAGAACCTCAGTCATGTAGACAGAAGTTCCAAAAAAGCACCCTAGTTAATAAACTAAAATTAGTTATAGTCATGTACATAAAACTTAGAATCACAGAAGTTAGGGTTGGAAAGGACCCTAAGATCATCTAGTTCCAACCCCCGTGCCACTTCTACATAAAATTTTAGCCATTTGTAGAAAATTGTGTTTATCAGCTCAAACCTAAGTTTTCTTCAATAATTAATATGAAAGTAAAGAATGGAAGCAGCAGAATCAATATGGTACAATTTGTATTAAGGTAGCAGCTCAGGTACTGTGACATCTGCTCATATTAAACTTCTACAGCCTCTGCATTACATTGTAAATGAGCCTGGGAACTAACTCTGAATCAGTCTGCTTGCATAAGTTACTAAAACAATGCACCAGCACTTAAAGGCATTTCATATTTATACATAAAGAAATACTTTTATTAGGGTTCTGATGGCTTCAGAGATTGCAGATCACTATTATGGACTGTGTGAAAACTATGTCATCAGAAAGTGTTTTAACTGAAGAGATGAATCTTGGAGTTCACAAAGCTGAACACCCTTGGAGCCATTAAGAAAACGTGTGTTCTGACTTGCAGAAACATTATAAGAACCCTGCCACATCCATACCTGGATAATATCCAACAGTGTAAATTTTAAGCACCAATCAAAGGAAGAGAGATTTGGTAAATGAATACACATGGTGGTAATTTGTGTGTCCAACTTCACATCTGAGCTTATTCCCATTTTCAATTACCTTTCCAAGACTGCATAGAAAAATATGGTCACTATGTCGCAGTGTGACCAGACAGATTCACAGATTAGTGTACTTAGAAAAACACATTTGTACACAACAGTGTGCAGAAAGAACATGAAAAATACATTTGCTCAGATCAATCAGACATCTCCAGAGATCACTACATACAATTCTAAAGGGAAACACTCTTAACATTTCTGGAACAACCACTGCTGTTTTATTTAAACTGACAACAGAGAAGATGACTAAATTCAGAAGTCATATTCTGCATGATAGTTTCATCTGTAACTGCAGGTCTAACTTGTATTACTGCCTAGCATCACAGGAAGTGGAATTCCTCCACCTTCTCAAGTGTCCTAATGCTTCAGACAGCACAAAAAGGGAGTCAACCTCTAGAATTAATTTGTGTGTGATGATGTGGAAATAAAGAAAACAGACCTTCACCTCACCCCTTTTGGCAAACAATGCTCACCAAGAATAGCATCTGATCATTCAGTTACCAAACTCAGACAAGAGCCCGGTAATTTGGCACATAAAAGCCTATTTTTGCAATTATAAGATAAGAAATTAAACAGTCATATAGTTAAAATGAAATCCGTTCATCTACAATGTATACTGCAACATGTTTGTCCTGATTCACATCTCCTTAACTCTATAATAGCAGCCTCTGCAATACTTGGGGTATCCCAACACATTAGTTGAGACCTAAGCTATGCAGAAGTTCAGATTCTCCTTAAGTTAGCTCAAAAATGAAATCACGGTTGCTTTTTCTCAGCGCAAAGTATACTGCAGGCAAAGCCAGGACAAGCTCTCCATACAGTTCTTTTTCTCCTCTGTAGACATTTAAGGAGTCCTCCTCAGCAGTTTCAATTTTTCTCATAGCTCTTCTCAGTATCAAAAACTGTCTATCAAAGAGCAGCAAGGGATTACTTGCAACCCAAACCCAGGATTTGGCCAGGGTTCTCAAGTTACTATTTCTGGAATTACTCAGCAACCCTAAACTATAACAACTACATATAAGAATATAGTGAGTTCATCCAAGCAGTTCCTCATACGCTGTACATGCATAACTTGTTACCTGCAGGAGTCTTGAAACAGATGTTGCACCTGGGAAAGCCTCATCACTAAGTTGTGGCAATATACAAAACCAGCAGTTATCAAAATGCAAGGGTATATATACACCAAGTGAATGTGAATTTCTGCCAGGACACAGATTCTGACTTCTGGTAAGCTGTTATGAACAATTCACTCAAGTTTTCATCCTCATGTCTATAAGAATAAAATCCATAAACAATCTCAACAGAATGATCATGGCCCGAGAATGAGACCAAGACAGAGGAAAAAGTACCACCATACACCACTAGTACTACCTCCCTCATTAAACTTGTTTCTTCTTGGCCTCCCATCCAAGTACTAAGAGAGCTGCAGAACTACCAAAAGTACCCATTGTACTGTTCATATATCTACTAAACAAGGGTGTAATACATCTCAGTTATATGGGTAATTACAAAGATATTCTCAACACTATTTTTCAGATTGCATTTCATTACAAAAGGAAAGAAAATGATGATAAACTAGAAATTCTTATCAGAGATATTAGTATCTATCTATGGTACGATATCTATGAACCATAGTCCATCCCCAAGATCTTCTGTCTCAGAACTTCTCAGGAGCAAGCTGCAGGACAGCTAACTCTTCTAGGGGTGAATTTTGCTTGATCTCGGTGTCCCCCTGGGGCCTCAAAACTGTTTTACGTGGTTGAAAACAGTGAGCATCATCCAGAGGAATGATGGCTGAAATTACATTATCACAAGACAGTTCACTACTAAACAAGAAACACATAGGCTAGAATATCAAAGAGTAGCCTCTTGAACTGGTCTACTGGCAGAAAATCAGTCACTCACTGGTGTGTGTGCTGTCCAGATCCTTGTTGGCAGCAGGCAGAAGTGCATTCATGCACTGTACAACATGTGTGCAGCAAGGCCTGTGCTTCCCAAAACGTCATACTTACTGCACATGGACAGTCAGCCCAGTCATCTCACAGAAGGGGAACTCGACAGAACTCTCAGTTTTGAAAGACACTTTTCTCAAAGTCAATAGTTTTACCCAGAGGAGTAAAATGCTGAACAAAAAAGACTTCCTATTTTTAGTCAAATCCCAAAGGAATAATGTGGTGTCTCATCTTCAGAGCTGTGGAATGAACCTTTAAATATAATTAAGAAAAAAGGCATTTGTTCATGATATTTAAGGAAAAGATCTGGGCAGGCCCATACAAATTCCATTTATAAACAGACAACTGAAAACAAGTCAAAATTGGGCTGTTCACTGCTGCTGTGCATGCTTCAAGCTTTCCTTTACCTCCTGGAGTTCTTCTACACCAGAGCTGGAAAAGTGGTATTTATTTCCTTCCTTTTAAGAACAAAATTCCTTCAGCAAAGTAACACGTTATTATGTTTCATGAATATACACAACCGTATCAAAGGAAACTGATAAAGAAATCAAAAAGGAAATAAGCAGCCTAACATCCACACCGTCAACCATAAGCCTCGTTACTGTGTTCGTGAGGAGGGTTCCTCAACTCTGTATCTGCTGACAACCTAGTCTGCCAATGATGAGAGGATGGAAAACACCACAGGAGAGAAGCTGCTATCAGTTTCAGTCTCACAAGGGCTAGGCAGCAGTTTCAGCTGAATCCCCAAAGGAATTCAAGACAGCAAATGTTACAGTGAAGGCCAAGTTCACAAGAGTGTCTCATTTAAATCTTGTTCTTTGCACTATGTGCACTTTTTGGTAAAAAATAAACTATTTTATTCCGCAGAATGTTCTTCTCTGCCATTTCACTGCTGCTGCTCTTCTTGTATGATCCTTTTGTGATCCCTGAGGGGAAATTCCTACTGGATCTAAAAGATGTTTCACCTGGCACCAACAGAAAGCAAACTGGAGACGCAAGATAAAGGGTGGCTGGGTTACAGTCTCACCCAAAGGGACAAGACCAGCTACGGAAAGGGTGTGCTTTCAGGACAGGAAGATCTGCTGCTTTCTCAAATTCTACTCCAGGATTTCAACCAGATTTCATAACACAATGTAGCGGGGCTCTTGCCAGCTCAACATGAGAAATTAATTAGCAGCAGAGGCTTGAAGCTGGTTGAACACACACAAAAATGCAGATATGGGTAATGCACTTTGCAGCAAATATGCCAATAGTGGGAAAATACTACTATGGTTTTGAATATTAATATTTAAGTCTTAAACCTTTGCAGTTCAAAGATATGAAGGGTGGATGGGAAGGAAAGAAGACAAAAACAAGCAAGCAAGTAAGCACACACCCAAAGAGAACTTTCTGTTTTGGACTGGTAAAGAAAAACTTGTCTGTCGTGAAAAGAACAAGTGATCTAATTCACTCTGTAGATTAAAAATGATCATTAATCACAACATTACGTATTTGCCTATCATCAGATACAGTGATTCTACATAACAGTTAAGACTCTTTAAAAAGAAAAGAATCCTTACCTCAGTTGCTTTGCATAGTTTTGCTCAATTTCTATCCTTTCTTTTACAAATTTTGCGTATTTCTCCAAGAAGTCAATGCCCCATTGTGTGTGCTTGTCCAAGTTATCGAACTGATCCTTTAAAACCAAAGAAACAGAATTATCCAAAGTTAGTTAAGAATCACAGTAGCACCAGAAAGAACTTATAATTTATTTATGTGCTGTGAGGAAATGCTTGCTACCTGGATAGAAGTTAATTCAAGTTATAAATCAGTCATATACCAGAACATTACGCTATATGTGCAAGCTTTCTACACCTTTTTGTACCTACACCTTTCCGTAAAAACAGCTAAAATACTTGCATTTTAAATTGTATACAGTCTTTGATTACTTTCACAATGCAAATGTGGTTTTTTTTCTCCCCAAAACTCCTTTCATTCAAAAGTGGATTTCTACCTCCAAGGTAACAAAGATAAAACCAAAGATCAGTATTAGGTAAGTAAGAGATACTTCCTCAAAGTGTGGCAGCTCTAAAACACCGGAAATAGTGATTTCATTGGATACAAAAAATTACTTTTATTCTTATGCTTTCCCACTGAAAAAAAAATAGCATTATAGCTGCATGGCTGAGTTGGGTGTAGTCTGCATCTGAAAAACATCCATTAAATCAATTCTATCTACACAGTCTGTGATCAGCTCTACCAAGAGATTCCAAAGAAAGCAAACCTGCCCTTAGCCATTAAGAAAGTTGTAGCGAAGCAAAGGCACAAAACAGGGAAACAGACAAAAATAAACCATGCTGCCAAAAAGTCTGGGGATTTTTAGCACATTAAATCATTTTCAAAACCAATCTTTCACTATGTTCTATACTCAACAGGTGAAGGGCACACTAATTAGCATAAGCTGAACATTCAAAAAGCAAGTAGAAATATGGGGGCTAGAGACCAGGCAGGAATGAATATAGGTATAAAATGCAGCCTAGGAAGCATTTTTAGCCTAGCACATATTTGTAGTTTATGGTAAAAAAATCTGCCACATTGGAAAAAAAAAAAAAAAAGAAAAAAAATCAAGTATTTTCAGCTTGCCACTGCATTTACAGTACTTTTTCTTAACAGTTACTTAGTAATCCAAAATGACAAGCGACTGCAACAGTCTGTGCTAATCCAAATACAGCTTCTTAGTAAATGTAAAAATCAAAATAAGAAAATGGAAACAAAAAAGCTAAAGGAAAGCCTTTAAAGGCAAAGTTTAACTTGGACAAAAGATGTGAGGCATCTTTATCAGAAACTGTCTTGCAGATTCAGTAACTTCACTGAACCTCATGAACTACACTGACCTTCAGTATATCAATTTATTTCAATTTCAAAATGCAGTAGAATGATCTGAAGTCAAATTGAAAAGTATTGTCATAAAACGCTGCAGGGCTGAAGACTCAAGGACAATGTATCCAACTAAGAGAGATACCAACACAGCTATATACAGCCAGTAAGACTAAAAAGAACGTAACAAGATTAAGGCTGCTTTTAAGTCTTGCCTTATGACTCCTACTATCCTACACCACGGGCTAACAACCATGGCCGCTAGCGCCTTTAACACTTCAATAGCATACAAGTACTGCCCACCCCGTTACACTGCTAACCATGTGCTCCTGCCTCCGCCATCACTCTCTCCAAACCCGCAGCTGCTTTCCCTGACTCATTCCATCAGAAACAGCCAAGAGACAAGGAGAGAGACTAAAGACAAGATTTGAATGTATTTCAGAAACCATGGCCTCTATCTCATATTGTTATGATGTGCCCACTTCGCAACAACTGCACATTTCCACCCTAAATATCTTTGAAAAAAGTGACATCCCTATTGTTTTTAGAAGCTGCATAGACATTATTTGCATATGTTCAACATCTTGTTTAACATCTTCGTCGCTGACATGGACAGTGGGATTGAGTGCGCCCTCAGCAAGTTTGCCAATGACACCAAGCTGTGTGGCTCGGTTGATACGCTGGAGGGAAGGAATGCCATCCAGAGGGACCTTGACACGCTTGTGAGGTGGGCTGATACCAACCTCATGAAGTTTAACCATGACAAGTGCAAGGTCCTACACCTGAGTTGGAGCAATCCCAGACACAGCTACAGGCTGGGCAGAGAAGAGATTCAGAGCAGCCTCGTGGAGAAGGACTTGGGGGTGCTGGTCTATCAGAAAATGAACATGAGCCGGCTTCAGTGTGCACTTGCAGCCCAGAAAGCCAACCGTATCCTGGGCTGCATCAAAAGGAGTGTGATCAGCAGGTCGAAGGAGGTGATCCTGGCCCTGTGCTCTCGTGACACCTCATTTGGAATTGTTGTGTGCAGTCCTGGTGTCCTCAACATAAAAAGAACATGGAACTGTTGAAACAAGTCCAGAGGAGGGCCACAAGGATGGCAGGGGGGTTGGAACTAGATGATCTTAAGGTCCTTTCCAACCCTAACTATTTCATTCTATATGCAAGAGGGACACTGTTGTGCTGGGGTGTCACACTGCTGTTGCATATATGTGTTAGAATACATCATAAATCTCCAGAAGTCTTTTTTATATTCCACTCACTTTTGTCATTACTCTGGCAACATTAACCTGGCATCCAAAGGAAGTTTCCAAAAGGTGCTTTTGGCACGAAGTCAACATCTAATGCCATTAGGAAGAACTGACTTCCTCCAGTGCTCAGCAGAACAAAGCCTTTGCTGTCCTACTTAGGCTCTTTAGTCCACAAAGCTTTCATTTGCTGCTAAGGTTTCATTAGCATTAGGGAACATCACATTACTTATGTTTCCAAACATGTAACCAGAGAGGATGGTTTTCCAAATATTTTCTTCCCACAAAAAAGGACTCTAGTGGTCAAAATTAATTCTCTGCTACTAATGTGAAACTAGAATGGAACAAAGTGAGTACATTTGCCATGCTGGTCTCCCCTCATGCTTTCCTAGAAGTATTTAATCGTTGAATAAGTGCCAAAACCTCTTCCTTTCCTCAATTCCTCCTCTTCATCTGATTCTAGAAACAGTATCCTCTGTGCAAAGTCAGCTTTGTAGGATTATCCCATCGCTCCTCAAGGGAAAGAAGGAATTTGTTCCCTCCCTGTATGCAGAACATACACAGAACAATCTGAATGGAGTAAATCCAGTGTGAGAAAAAAGTAAAACACATTAGCTATCCCCCCCCTCTGCAGACCTTTACATTAGGCCAGCTCCTCCACCATCACTGACATCTGTGAAACTACTCATGGATGCATTAATGATCTCACAGATAAAGAATGAAAATCCTAATTGAGTGGGCCAGTAGTCCACATTTACTAAAACTAAAACAAGAGGAGTAGTACGTTCTGTTTTAAAGAGTGAAACAGCTTCACAACATCAGTTTGTCCACTGACTTTCTCCATCAGTAAACGTGCACTATCTTAGAACTAAGCACTCAGTATGAACAATAATAAAATTATTTCAATAAGTATCAAAACATTTTTGAAAACTGTCTTATGATGCCCCCAAAAAATATAAAAACCTACAGATTTGTATTCCAAACAAAACTGCTCTAATAAACCCTCGCATAAACATTGATTCCGTAGATTAAACCTGACATACTGATGTCTCTTCAGATCTCCAAGTCATGTATGTACTGTAAAACAGAGCTCTTAATTAACAGACAGAAAATATAACCCAACACATCAGCTTCACAACTTTTCAAGCTCTCTACAACCAACAAACCAGTGCATAAAAGTCTGCAGTCACAAAAAACACCTTAGCTGCCCCATAATGACACAGAGATAAATGAGAAAGGATAAAAGCAACACCAATAAATAAGCAGAAAGGAATGGCTTTTTCACGAAGGCTTCTAGAGGCGAGTCACCAATTTACTTGTGGTCCTTTGAACTTCTCCCCAGAAGCATCCATGTTTGAGCTCTGGGCCTTGATTAAGCAGAAAGTTTCCCTTTCATCCAGGAAAACAAGCAGAAAATCTTCCAAACTGCTACAAATGAAATCAAATTAATGCACTGAGATACAAGGCAAGCAGTATCTTGAATGGAAAAAGCAGTGCAAAAAGATCAGGCAATACTGTACAGAGCAGAAAAAGAACCAAATAACTGCAATAAAATTTAAGCTTAGAATTTAAAAATAAATTTACCAGAGTATTAATTTGGCTGGGTCTTTTATAAGGAAAGTAAAAAGTGCATTAACCAAAGGTCAGTTAAAGGCAATTAAAAAAAAAAGAACACATCTACAGTATCTGGCAATGTACTACCTTGATAGTAAACCATGTTCCCAATATTCCAAGGCAAATATATATTGCTGTTTGTATAGTAACTCCCCACACCCCACAGCAGCTGAGCAGGCCATTTTTTGTAAAAAGCTTTATTAAAACTGCAGCTGACTATTATTAAACTGGTTAATGCCAGCTAATGGATGGTGGCCTTAAGTAGAAACTGCCCACTCAAAAGCTGGAATGAAGTCCAAAGTCTCTGCATCATAAACAAACAAATCTGACACTTCATGGAATGTTTGTAGTAGGTCAGTATAGACTATTCCAAAATAAATATTACCACCCTAAATTCTACTTCCAGATTGTTTACTGGAACCACAGATCAATGTTACAAATACTTCAGATACATAGTCTTAAGCTTAACAGGTTTTTGCAGATAGCAGGAAGCTATACAGTAATAGCAACTGAACATCAAAGCAAGGAGCCAAGTCGAATCAAATCTGCAACAAAGACAAAACAGTCTTTCCTAGGTTAAACTCAAGATTTGCTCTCCCCCTCTTACTGACACTCTTTTTTCACCCAAACTTCAAGAACCAGTAAAAACATAGAGGGATGCTACAGCATAAATACCCGATCTTTAGCCTATCTAAAGCTATCAGCAGCTACTTCAGGCATTTGTATATACGGGAGTTTCAAATAAAAGGCATTAAACCAGACTGAGATTTTTAAAGGGTTAATTGTTCCCAGATTTTACACCTTTGGAAAGCCTTTCTGCATTAAAAGCTAGGATTGCAGTATCACCTCCTCCTAAAAAAGGAATCTGCTTTAGTAAATAGTTCCTTTACAATAAACTCCGGTTTACCAAACCAACATCAGACTGCTAATTAGCCTATATTTCACTGACCCGTTTTGA